GGCCTCCTTTGGAGACCTGTAAGTTTCCGTAAAGCTGTGCAATAGCATAAGCTTCATAATTTAGGTTAACAAGAATAACTAAAGAGACTAGCACGCTATAAAATGCCCCACACTACGCCGAACAACGTCTTATTTTGTACAATATTTATTGTAATTTTTACTGTTATTATCACTGTCATTGTTATTTTATCGCAAAGATTGCTTTGGATTGCTGCCAGTATTCCAGGAAGCAAAAGAGCCGGCTGGCGGTGATGTTGAGGAAGGACAGGAAGATGGTGGTGATGACGCGGCTAAAGACAAAAAGAAGAAAAAGAAAGACAAGAAGAAGGATAAAAAGAAGGAGGAAAAGGACGATGGGAAAGGCAAAAAGAAGAAACATGTATGTTTCGTACAGGTTTAACATTTTTCATTTCTTTCAAGTTTTCTCAAATCATGAATCACAGGTGGATATGATCAAAGAGCTCTTGCGCGCAAAACAAGAAGCTGAGGAAGCTGAACTGCGCAGGCAAAAAGAGGAAGAAGAGCGTCTCGCGGCTATAGCTCGGGCTAAAGAGGAGGAGGTGAGCTTAGGAGTTTTAACTCGTTTCTAAATGTGTTTTGCCCTTCTTGAGAATGCGTTCATACTTTGTGGCAACGTTCTGAGCACTAAGAATGCATAGATATCGATTATCGCTCAAAACACTGGAACGCTAAAACGCTGCGGTAAAGTATGAACACAGCCTAATCAAATGCTAGGGCTCTCCACTCGATCTAGAATGTGAAGTAGACATCGATTTCCAGGAGCGGATAGCCAAGGAAAAGCGAGAAGCAAGGAAAGCCAAGGAAAAAGCGGCAATTGAACGTAAAAAGGCTGAAGGAACTTATCTGACCGCTGCTCAAAGAGAGAAGCAACGGATAGCTGCAGCAAAGTTGGCCGCAGCCGGATGTGCGTAAACTTTCTCGAATTAGTGGGGGGAGTCAGTTTCCCGTCATTTACCGTAATATTTTCAGTGACGAAGCCAGTTCCAACGGTCAATGAACACGTAATTTATGCTAACTTGGATCGACGCGCTAAGAAGAAGTTCCTGGAACAGAAACAGAAAGAGAGGGAAGAACAGCTGAAGCTACAACAACAGAAAGAAGAAGAGGAGGCAGCTAGGCGTGCTAAAGGTTTGGCTTAGATGAGAGTTTTTGAAATCGAGTCATGATGTTGTGAATTTCTGTTTAGAAGCTTCGGAGACGCCTCCCCCGTCCAAGGAAGAAACTCCGGAGTCCAAGACACCGGAAACGGTGGGTTCTTATTTTTTTTTTTCATTGAGTAGTGTCTAACGCGCGTTGTTTGCATTATCCAGCGTGGCTATAAGTAGCTGTAGACCCGAATAGAGTACCCCTGTTATGTCTTCCATTGAAACAAATGACTTCCTGAAGCCAGCATAATACTAACAGCACATTTTACCGCGCAAAACACTCCGCGTTCGAAGAGAAGGTGCGCCTTACCTCGGAAAATATGTGTGACTTTCGCCGATCGCGGACAGCGCTTCGATGACGGCGATCGATGCAGCTTGCAAACATGCCGCATCGATCGCGTCGAATGCGCTGTTGAAGCGCTTCCGTCGCAAAGTCTGAACGTTGCTCAAGACAAACTGGAAACGCCCTCTTGGAAATATTATTTCCCACTGTTTTCTGTTGCAGAAAGAACCCTTAGACGATTGGGAGATGGTTCTTCAAGAAGCGAAACAGCAGAAGGAAGAGCAGGATCGTTTAGAAAAAGAGGAAACTGAGGTGAAACCGCAACCACGAACTATTGAACAAGTATCAACAGAAACAAAAACGGTAATTCTATGTTTTATTCTAATAATCGGTGCTTTTTTGCCGTAGTTTGCGGGAAACTTGTCACAAAAATGCTAGTCCTATAGTGCTGGGGCCAAAAGTTTTACCTCGCCACAGAACATGACTGCTCTTTACCAAGGAGTTCCGCAACTTTCCTAGGAACTGTAGAGAGGATACCTGGGTCAGATCGATTAGGACTCAAGTAGGAGCAACTTATGAGCAGGTAAAGTTTGTAATGGTGCAGTAGGGTGGAGGCTTGGTGGTGAGCTGTGAAGCATAAGCGAGGAATCGCATATTCGACGTTCGACGACTCGATTCGACGTATGCGATTCCTCGCTTATGCTTCACAGCTCACCACCAAGCCTCCACCCTACTGCACCATTACAAACTTTACCTGCTCATAAGTTGCTTGTGAAATGCAGGTTGCAGTTTTGCTATCTATATTTGTAAATAACCTTATAGACTATCGATCTACCCAGGTCTCCATTCAAAGTTCCATGGTAAGTTGGCGGACTTCCCTGGTTAGTTAACTAGCGAGTGACCAGTACACCACCGGGATGTACTTCTGCTCTCTCAACTTGACGGCATTTCCCATTGTTTAATAGCTGTTCGCCCATAGCCCGATGCTCTTGTGGTGATTTCAATACTTTTTTTTGCTTTACAGTTCCAAGTAAAAATGCGTTCAAACTTTGCGGCAACGTCCACCAGCATTTGAACGTGCGTCAGCGTTTCAGCGTCCGCCATCGTTTTCAGCGATAAATGCCTATACTTTCCTGCTTCGCTGAAAACACTGGTGGACGCCCAAAACGCTGACAAAAAGTATGAACGCAATCTAAAGGTGATTGTCTCAGAGCAAAGATGAGGAAACTGAAGAAGAATCGTCTGAAGAAGAGAGCTCGGAAGAGGAGAGTGAAAGTGAAGAAGAATCTTCAAGTGAAGATGAGTCGCCGAAGGCAAAGCTCACAAAGGAGGAGGCCATGGAGGCCGTGCGGCAGCGACTGATCGTAAGTTCTTTTTGAAAACTGCTTGCAGTTTCAGGTTGAAGTTCTCCGGCGCTTCACAAAAACTACTGCCTACTATTTCAGAAACGTCGTGAACTTGCGGAGTCTAAACGTTCCAGGGACAATTTACGCGCTCCGGTTATCTGTGTCCTTGGTCATGTCGATACTGGAAAGACGAAAATGCTGGATACTGTATGTGATATGTTCTAGACTGGTTTTGCTAAGCGTTTTACGAGTTGGTCCTTAGCCGTTGGTTTCAGATTCGACGAACAAATGTACAAGACGGTGAGGCAGGAGGTATTACCCAACAAATTGGTGCCACGCAGGTTTGATGATTCGAGGAACTCAAAATTTTCCCATTTTTTCAATCCCCTTTTCTTTAGGTCCCAGCCGATGCCATCAAGGAACGGTGTATTTTTTCAATCCCCTTTTCTTTAGGTCCCAGCCGATGCCATCAAGGAACGGTGTAAGCAAGTGAGAGATTTCAATCCCGATGCTGTGAGAATCCCAGGCTTCCTCATTATTGATACGCCGGGTCACGAAAGTTTTGCGTAAGCGTTCATTAATTACTGAGCTTTGGTTTTAATGGATTTCTCTTTACGAGAGAAGAATAATTGCTTTTTGTGCAGGAATCTTCGTTCTCGTGGATCGTCGCTGTGTGATTTCGCTATACTGGTTGTGGACATTATGCATGGACTTGAACCACAGACGATTGAATCGTTGAAATTGTTGCTGAAGAGGAAAACGCCCTTCGTTGTTGCTTTAAATAAGGTCTGCTTTACGATTCAGAATAATCTGTATGGTATACATTCCCTTTGCATTCTGTTTTGTATCTATCTCGAATGGAGAAAACTGAGCGCTGTTTGGCTTGGAGGAAGGGGGGGGGGTGGAATCTAGCACTTTCGTGCGATCCATATGTTAGGCCAGGTTGCCTGAAAGGTACTACTTTGGTGACGGCTGTAATCTCGCTCATGAAGCTGTGAAATGTGCAGGGAAACCGCTTTGGTCACAGGAATTCACAGGTCCTCACAAGGTAGTCTGACAAGCTTCATCAAGTACCAATGGGTGCCCCCCCCCGTGCCGAACTGCGGCCGACACCGGATATAATTTGCATTTTCCCAAACCTTCAAGGTCGGTCGGCCATTTGTCCTCCCACGCTATGTAACCAGTAATTTTTTTCAACGCGCGCGCGTCATACGCAGCGCTCACTGTCAAGAAAAATCTTGGATTGGTTCCAGTAAGAGACAAGCAAGTTTTCATGCCCTGGGTCCAAACTTATCTGAGGATCAAAATCCTAAATTATATGTCGGCTGGCGCTCGCAAGTAATTGTATAGGCCATATCTCTTTCAATATGCCCCTATGAAACTGGATGGGAGTGGAATGCATGGCGCATCACAAGGAGGTTGCCTTCAAAAGCTTCGCCTTCGCAGGTATTGCGTAGTCGATGTAATCCACCTAAGTATTACCGGCACAGTTCGGCGAAGGAGGGGCATTTTGCGCTTTCGCTACTTTCCATTGTCTGTCGAACCATCGCATTTAGATTTGTGTAATTAAGTGAAGCCATGAAGTTATGCCAGTCAAAGTTTCTAGAAATTACTTATCCACATTTTGAGAGGGTACCTGTCAACTCTTGTAAGCAATGAACACTGGGAAGTAGCAAAAGGGCCCCTTCCAAGCCGAACGGCGCCGTATTACCTATCCAATTTAAATTGATTTAGGCAGTATTCAGCTATTTTCGAATGTTTTTTCTAAATGGCTTTGTCTGTGCTTCACACGTGTTTCGATAATTCATTTTGTGATCAATTTCTCCCCTTGTAAAGCATTTTTCAAAGCACATGGAGCTATTGCTTCAATTGAATTGGTTTTTTTTCAGATTGATCGATTGTATGGATACGAATCGAATCCACGTAAGGACGTTTACCAACATTTGAAATCGCAACCACAAAATACGCAGCTTGAATTCAAAGAACGTTATGATAAGATTGTTGGAGAATTTGCTGAACAGGTACGTGAATGAATCTGCTGGTGGCTAGCATGGGAGACGGGCAGGAGAATTGTAGTTTGCCGCTCCGCCGCGCGCGGCGATAACAGCGGCGCTTTCTTAACTCTTGTCAGCTTATCGATTTTTTGGAGCAGCGATTTCAACGTGGCTACGAATCAGTAGACATTATGCAGTTTTCGGCTCCTGCTACTATTGGCACGCATCTGTTGACCTGAACCCATCGTCATTTACCGGCGCGACGATCGCACGCGCCACGCCCCTCGCGCGCGAAATTGCGATTCTGTTGTCACATACCCGACTAGCATTGGTTATTGAAGGCCGTGGATCAGAAGATTCGATTTGTGGAGACACGCAGTAGCTGCTATGCGCGCGTGGCTCATCTTTCTCCGACCATTCGCAATCAGGCGAATAAGGTGCGGATATTCGTCCACGTGACATACCCAGCCGAAAATCCTTTCCGTACCTAAGGACACTTTTGAACCCAGTCCCTTTGATCGCGTCAGCTTTCCCTTTCTTCTGTTTCTTTTTTCTCTGCGCTCTCACGTCTACATGATGTTCTTCGACCAGTATGACCTTAAGCATCCTAAACACATAAGTAGCCTCGTCCAACCGAGGTCTTCTGGTTTGACCATTTTCTCCCCAGTTTTCACAGTATTATTTATTTTTTTTCGAGAAGGTGTTTTCTCCTTGTCGAAGTATAATTAGGACGGGGATTCTTTTTTTATGCTGTTTTTTACCGCGTAATGAAAATAAAAAATGAAGTGCTTTTGCGATTTTTTTTATTAGGTGTCTCTTTGTTTAATTATTTAATTGTAACAGCAAAAATTAAGAAACGAGCTCAATCATAATTTATTTTATGAGTCAAAGGAACAATAAGCCCTGACCCAAGAACACCACAAAGCAAAAGGCCCCCAGAAAAAACAAATGAAAATTTTGGAGAAAATGGCTAAATGGCTGGAAACAGCTGATTGCGGCGCACCGCAGCCATGCAGTCTGCGACCCTTTGGCCGCCTAATCAACTGCCCGGTTGACGACTGTACTTTCGCAGGCGCAGTTCTCTGGTCCCTTGCGCTCTGGCCTTTCGCGCCCAGGATAACTCAAAGTATGTCAACGCTATCGCTTTTGCCTGTCACCCGGCCCCTGCTCAGATTTTCCGATCCACGGCTCATTTTTTAATAAAGATGGACATGTCCATTATTTAATATTTATAGGCTCTCAACGTCTGCTTGTCAAATCAGAATAAGAATCTTGATGAGTACATCAGTATGATTCCCACGTCTGCTTACATGGGAGATGGAATGGTAAAAAATTAATAGAGTTGCCTTCATATGGAATTACTTCCCCAAATTTCTGTTCAGGAAACCTGATGGCTTACATTGTGGGAACGGCACAGAAGTATCATGCCGATAAACTGGCGTATAGTGAGGAACTGGATGCGACCGTCATGGAAGTGAAAGCAATTCCTGGACTGGGAACAACAATTGATGTGATTCTTGTCAATGGGCGCCTGAGAGTGGGCGACATTATTGTTGTCACGGGCACTGAAGGTGCAATAATGACACCTATTCGAGAGCTATTGATGCCGCAGCCGCTTAGGGAACTTCGAGTCAAGGTTTTTTTTGTTTCTCATAATTCAACTTGCAATGGGTTTTCCTTGAAGGCTCATTCGCGCTGACCGTATAGGCGGCGATAATCAACCGTTTTGCTTTCCGCAGTGGTGCGTCTCCCCCTTCAGTAGCTCAAAACGAGGACGGACCAATGAGCGAGGTTGAATGATCCACTATCTCCGCCCATACGATCAGCAGAGTGCACCGTTCGTGTTTCGAGGAGCAAAGCTTATGCATAGTTTGTTTTCAGAATGAGTACGGGCATTATAAAGAGATCCAAGGAGCACAGGGAGTCAAAGTTCTAGCAAAAGGTCTAGAAAAGTGCTTGGCAGGTCTTCCATTGTTTGTAGCTCATAAGGAAGATGAAATTGACTTCCTCAAGTATGCTACTCACTTCTGCTTCTCTACGTTATGCTTGTTTCTTAATCATGCTCCAATGTTCCAGAAACGAGGCTGAACTGCAACTAAGTCGAGCTCTCACGTCTATCAAGAAGAAGCCAGAAGGAGTTTATGTACAAGCAAGTACCCTTGGATCGTTGGAGGCATTGCTGGAATTCTTGAAAACGCAGAAAATTCCGGTTAGTGTGTAGTGAATAATTCAATATCTAATTCATCCTTTGCCTGTTTTGTAGGTGTTCACTGCAAATTTGATCTCAGAAGTGGGGCTGGGGGGGGGCTCAGTGATGAACTTATCTTTGTAGAACTGACAAATGCCTTGGTAAAACTCGAATATTCTGCCGCACAAGCGTCTTTCCATCACCTAAGGCTGCGTTTATACTTTGCGGCAGCGTAGCGTAGCGCTTCCAGCGTACGCCAGCGGCAGTGCCGGGGAGAGGATGCATATCGATCTAGCGTTCACCAGCGTCACGCTAGCGTTACGCCAGCGTTTCACCAGCGTTTTGCTAGCGTTTGCAGCGGCAGGGGAGTAGAGACTATGGGAGAGCTGGAGGGTGCGCGTCTCTCACTCGCCCTCAGTCTCTACAATACACATCGATTGCGCGTCTCTGACGGCCACATAGTCTCTACAATACATCGATTGCGCATCTC